TCACAGAAGCTCTTTGTCTCAAGATGGCCATGTGACTTAACTGTGACTTACTCTGAATAAACAATTCTTTCAACAAGAACCCGCTGATAAACTGAGACAGACTAAGCAGTTTGCAAAGCTACACTGCAGATCTGAACTCTTTCCGTAGTCTTGTACCAGTTTGCAGTCACACTTTTAAAAATTAATTTAAGAGAGAAAATACTGGACAAAAATTCACCATTGTTTGAGTTATTTTAAATGATGTCTTATATGAAAAAAATAATCATTTTATTGACCCAGAGGGAAATTCAAGTTTTGCTGGAGCAAACTGTTGCATTTGATGTTGCTGCAACATTTCCACTGTGTGTCTCAGTGGCTTTTATGTCTCAGTCAAACGTCTCAGTTTAACAGGAGGACTGGTCAGGCAGATCTTGTGGAAGAGCCAAAAGTGCCTCTCCTCTGTGTCCTGCGTCCTGCAGCATTACAGCAGTGTCTAGGGGGAGCCAGGTCAACACAACTGGAAAGGCCTTACTCTTACTCCACTCTGGTGTTTTGGTTGGTGACAAAATGGTTCATTCCCTCAAACTGTTTCCTCTGCACATGCTACACTTATTAGTTGTTTAAAATCCCATGATATGATGTTAAAACTGAGCTCAACAAACATGAGAACATAAGATTAACCCTGCATTCTATTGGATGTCGGTAGTTGATAAATCCGAGCAAGTTCTCCCAACTTCTGCTGTAAATGTGTTCCATTGCAACAGTTGGAGAAAATATGAAGCCCCAAGAAAGTTTATTGTCCAACCCACTCGGTCTGCACCAAAATAGCCAGAGTTTGTGTTTTGGAACCCCGATTTGATTGGTGGAGGTCGGTTTTCACCGAGTCTCGAGCACAATAGAATGCGGCAAAAGATGTGTATGAAAAATATTAATGTTAGCAAGATGCAAATCATAGTCTTATTTAGAGCCCGACCGATATATCGGTTGGCCGATATTATCGCCCGATATGGGCAACTGGATAGCCGATATGCTTGCTGATAGTTGCCGATATTTCACGTGGGCATGTGATACGTCGTTAAAAATCTTAGACTCTTTACATTCTGTTCATTTAATCCAATTTACAGACAGATAAATGTCCAGATATGTGTCTCTGCATGAGTATTTATCTGTGGAGTCATTTGTCTGTGTGTGTGTCCGTACTGTCCCTGAACACACCACAGAGTCGTGTCACTCACGTGTGTTTGTTTACACTCGCAGACATAGATCCAAACATTGAGATTATTTTCTTTTTAAGGACAATCTGTTTGAGTCTGGACTAAAAGGACATTTATTAGTGCAGACTTGTGATGTGAGGAGGAGCCTGTGTGAGGCTGAATGTTGGAAATATGTCGACTTTGAAGCTGGTTTTGGTCATTTGTTATGGGTTAGCTGCTGTAGCTCCCTCACTTAAACAGGCTGTTTTCTATTGGCCTATTGTAAATTGACTACATTGGCTGTATATTTGATACTGCACCTGCATTGATATGTAAATGAGATGTGAATAGACATGTGAATTATGACATTTGCGCATATAATTAATTACCGCGGTGCGCACGTATTCAGGGCTAAAGGCTAATAGTGCTAGTTTCTTTACTAGTGATGGGTCCGTCGCGAACGAAGCGGCTCTTAGAGCTGGCTCTTTGAAGCGAACGACGGGAGCCTGATCCTTATTGGGAGTCGTGTTTTCTCTTTCTCTCACCTTTTTTCTCTTCACGCTGCGTGCAGACTCGTGGTAGTTTGACAACGGCAGCGGCTAAAAACAAAACTTTGAGAAATTTGCGTGTACATAGGATAAAAAAAAAAACTTGCATATTTGGCTGTAGTTTAGCATAAAATAAATAAACCAGGACTAATCTTGGGCACGAGATAGAGACCGAGTCCCAACACTCAGTCCTGGTTCAGTTTTGGTTTAGTCCTGTTTTACACGTGGTCTAGATCTGTTTTAGTCCTGGTTTAGTCCTTTTTCAGTCCTGGTTTAGACCTGGTTCAGTCCTGGTTCAGTCCTGCTTTAGACGTGCTTTAGACCTGCTTGCAACAAAACAATCTGAAGAGCCACTTGGAAGCCAAAAGAACCAGCAGCTTTTAGTGAGCCAAGCCAAAAGAGCCGGTTCTCTAAAAAGAACTGGAATACCCATCACTAGTGTCTAGAATGTGATGCAAAAATGCCATTAAGCCAACCTACTGTATGTAAATATGATATAAAGAGGCAGAATAACAATAAATGTTGCCTAAATAAACCCAATTTAAAATCCTCTAGAGCCAAACCTAAGTTTTTTAAACAATTCAACATTTACAGTGAATTTTTACATCACTAAATATATCGGCGATTATATTGGCTATCGGCAGCTCCAACTCCCATTATATCAGTTTCATATCGGCCACAGCAAAATCCATATCGGTCGGGCTCTAGTCTTATTACAACGGTGGATTCATAACAATGCTTCTGCTGTGGTGTAAATCATTTCACTGACAAAAGTCACACAGAAGATATACAAGCACGGGTATCACTCTGTGGAAAATCCTCTATTGCCCAGAATGACATAATTTGTTTTGTTAGTTACACTGATTTATTTTTAATTATTTGTTTTGTTCTGGAAGGAATACTTTGAGGATCTCCTCAATCCCACCGTCACGTCCTCCGAGGAGGAAGCCGAGGCTGGGGACTCAGAGGCGGACTCATCCATCACCCTGGCCGAAGTCACTGAGGTGGTTGGCAAGCTCCTTGGTGGCAAGGCTCCGGGGTTGGATGAGATCCGTCCTGAGTACCTGAAGTCTCTGGATGTTGTGGGGCTGTCTTGGCTGACACGCCTCTTCAACATCGCGTGGCGGTCGGGGACAGTACCTCTGGACTGGCAAACCGGGGTGGTGGTCCCTCTGTATAAGAAGGGGGACCGGAGGGTGTGTTCCAACTATAGGGGGATCACACTTCTCAGCCTTCCCGGTAAGGTCTATGCCAGGGTACTGGAGAGGAGAATCCGGCCGATAGTCGAACCTCGGATTCAGGAGGAGCAGTGTGGTTTTCGTCCTGGCCGTGGAACACTGGACCAGTTCTACACTCTCCATAGGGTGCTCGAGGGTTCATGGGAGTTTGCCCAACCAGTCCACATGTGTTTTGTGGATCTGGAGAAGGCATTCGACCGTGTCCCTCGTGGTGTCCTGTGGGGGGTGCTCTGGGAGTATGGGGTCCGGGGCCCTTTGCTAAGGGCTGTCCGGTCCCTGTATGACCGGAGCAGGAGCTGTGTTCGCATTGCCGGCAGTAAGTCAGACCTGTTCCCGGTGCATGTTGGACTCCGCCAGGGCTGCCCTTTGTCACCGGTTCTGTTCATTGTATTTATGGACAGAATTTCTAGGCGCAGTCAGGGGCCGGAGGGGGTCCGGTTTGGGGACCACAGGATTTCATCTCTGCTGTTTTGCGGACGATGTTGTCCTGTTGGCTTCATCGAACCAGGACCTGCAATGTGCACTGGGGCGGTTTGCAGCCGAGTGTGAAGCGGCTGGGATGAAGATCAGCTCTTCCAAGTCCGAGGCCATGGTTCTCGACCGGAAAAAGGTGGCTTGCCCTCTCCGGGTGGGTGGGGAGTCTTTGCCTCAAGTGGAGGAGTTCAAGTATCTCGGGGTCTTGTTCACGAGTGAGGGAAGGACGGAACGTGAGATTGACAGGCGGATCGGTGCAGCTTCGGCAGTGATGCGGTCGCTGTATCGGACCGTTGTGGTGAAGAGGGAGCTGAGTCGAAAGGCGAAGCTCTCGATTTACCGGTCAGTCTTCGTTCCTACTCTCACCTATGGTCATGAGCTCTGGGTAGTGACCGAAAGGACGAGATCGCGGATACAAGCGCTCGAAATGAGTTTCCTCCGCAAGGTGGCTGGGCGCTCCCTTAGAGATAGGGTGAGGAGCTCAGTCACACGGGAGGAGCTCGGAGTAGAGCCGCTGCTCCTCCACGTCGAGAGGAGCCAGTTGAGGTGGCTCGGGCATCTGTTCCGGATGCCTCCTGGGCGCCTCCCTCGGGAGGTGTTCCGGGCATGTCCCGCCGGGAGGAGGCCCCGGGGAAGACCCAGGACACGCTGGAGGGACTATGTCTCTCGGCTGGCCTGGGAACGCCTCGGGGTCCCCCCGGAGGAGCTGGAGGACGTGTCTGGGGTGAAGGAAGTCTGGGAGTCCCTGCTTAGGCTGCTCCCCCCGCGACCCGGCCCCGGATAAGCGGACGAAAATGGATGGATGGATGGATGTTTTGTTCTGGCTTTGTTTTGAGCTAAATGATCTGTCAAGTGACAGTTCACTGACACAAGACGCTGACAGACAACTGACAAGGTATGACAAAGGCAAGGGAGATTCACTATTTTTGAATTAATTATACACAAATGTTACCATTATTGTTATTATTTGGGCATTGGAGTCACACTTGCCATTTTACTCTAATGGTTTAAAGTCCCTTCAACTATTATATCTTTGAGGATTGAATGATGAAGCTATTGTCAAGAAATAATTTCTTTAATTTAATTGAACATTTAGCAAGTTTTTGTTGCATGTGTGGTTTAATTTTATATTAAGCTTCAGTGATGACCATTGCCACCCTGCTCATACCCCTACCAGAGCACCGGCGACTGTCGAGTATAAAAATAAATGTGCTTTAGTCAGCCTACATCAAAACTGACCTGTCTGCATTCCCAAAGAGGTCTACTTCAAGATTATGCTCTTGAGCCAATTTGGGTCAGGCATTGTTGTAGTGCCTTTTTTTTTTTTTTTTTTTTTTTTGCCAGTCCAATCCTTCTTTATCATCTCATACTTGGTTTTGGTATGCTTTGCCAAAATGAACAATGGGCCTTGTCAGATAACTTGGTCGGGCTAACATTCTAAAATGTTATGAAGTTTTGAATCCAACTTCTAATTAACCCAGTGGAAGTACTTGATACCTGATAGTGGCTTTCTCATGATTATTCTTTTCTGATCGTTTGAACTGAGTGAGAGACTGATAGCTACTGACCCAAGGCGCTGCTCCTCCTTCTTCCTCAGGGTGAAATCTCTCTGGATGACCTCCCATACATGCTTGGCCTCCTCATCCGTTAGGCGAGACAGGTCCAGCTTCCTGTCCATGATTAGCTCAGCCTCTGTCACACAACATTGCATAGTCCATTCACTTTTACCACTAGGAAAGAATAGTTCAGTACCGCAGTTATCTTGTTTTGCTTTTTTTTTTATACAGTCTGTGGTTTCAGTCTAGTTCCATCAATTGAAAATGGCTTCTGGATGGGAGCTGAAACATCCTGATTGCAAAAACTGCCCACATGACCACTGTTGAAACTGTAAAATCTTGGAAAACTCTTGGATGAATGAAGGATTACTCCACCTCATTGTTATCAGATCTTATGTTTAGCCATTGATACTTTACAGTGACATTACGCCAGGGGTGTTCTACATGTATCTACATGCATCTACATGTATGGTGGAATGTTTAACAGTTGACACTGCCAAAAAAGTTTCAGGATAGTTTGAAACCTCAATCTGAAATGGATTTAAACAGTACGTTTTCAGGAGCGTGTGATCTGTGATATGAATGTTCATGATGCTGGGTGTTTGATTTTCAACATAAAAGTGAGAGTACATCTGAAAGAATCTGACAGTATCTGACAGAAGAGAGCCTCAAGTTAGCATCACACCCCCAAGAACGTTGATGATATCAGCTGTAATGTACCAAAAGAAAAACCTGTATCTGAAAAAAAATTAAGATACTGTGGAACATTCCAAGCAATCCCTTGCATTTCCATGGAGATGTTATGGCTTTCTACCAGAAAAATTACATAGTATACCTTGAAATGGTATTGAACATTGATAGACCTAAAAAAACCAAACAATTGTTTTTAAATTTAGAAACAAAATAGCACTTTTTGTCTCAAAACTACTTCTGTTCATAGTGTTATTGTTGATAACAAAACCACTAATGAATGTAGATTAAAATAAAATGGAGGGCTATGAAAAGTGAGAAATTATAATAGGAAGCAAATCAAATAGTAAGTGCTTTGTGCTACGAACACTTGAAACAGTAACACAACTCGAACACATTACAGCAGGTTTAAAGGACCCATATTATATTTTCTGATCTATGTATGTCAGTGAAAAAGAGTGGGAACCCTGTAAAGGTAAATGACAAAGTAAAACCCATTTAGTGTAAATTGGCTAAAGCAAGCGCAGTATACTTGTAGTTTAGCTGGTTTAGGTAAAGTACTTACTGGATTTACTTGAGTGTTATGGATGTGCATGTTGTTTCCTGACTTTTTTTAAAAATAAGGCTACTTGTGAGGGTTTACAGTGTAACATGGTTTAAAACTCACATGAGTCAGGTTTAAATGTAATGTATAATATAAGACCTTTATGTAAGGAGGGATTGTAGGAACAGAAACAAATGAATAAATGGAGACATATGGCATGTTTGTTTTAAATTAGATCAAGCCTAGCAGGATTATTGACTGGAACTAATTAAACAATATTAAATTATTTGGAAGATACAGATTTGAAGAGATTACTGATAGAACACATTAGATTTGGTAATAAAAAAAAAAAAAACATCTGAAGAGATTAGATTTCATTTGGAGCAATTTGAATGATCAGCAGGACTTACCGTGTGCTGGGGAAGAATCGGAAGAGAAGTGAGCCAGAGTCAGCCCATCACATGACCCACACCCTGATCATGACATCACCGAGCTTCCAAGACTACATGGAGCCAAAGGTCCCTCCTGCTATGGCCATATTCACGCAAGACATAAGGATTATCTGATCTTTATTCAAACAGCACCCACATTTTGTGACTATACAAGTATTCATCAGAAGTGTAAAGTAATGTCTTAGTCTTATGAGAAAGTGGTCATAGCAAACAATGGACTGGGTAATACTCAGTTGCATTTATCCAGTTATATTTTAACATTTATTTGAGTAACTTTTTAATGAAATTGTACTTGTAACAGTATGTTTTTGGCAGCACACATTTATTCTAATTTAAGATTTTTACTGAAATAACAGCACTTACTTGAGTAGATGTTTGCGTCACTCTTGTGACAAAAGCTTTATGTTGACAACATGGTGTTTCCCAGCTACCCTCACATGAGTAGTACTTTCCCCAATTAGTGCTATCATGCGATTAAAAAAATTGAGAGATTAATTAATTATGATCTGTAATTAATTAATCTAATTAATCTCTTTTTAATCTCACCTAAAAATTGCATTTGCAATTACATTATTGTGGCAGATCAAAAGACTGATATAGATTAAAAAAGTGACTTTATAAAGTCATTTATTGTTTAACAAATCTCTTCAAATTGTCTGTTGAGCCCAAGTCTCCATGAATAAGAAACTGTTTGCTGTAAAGTAGCAAAGACCAGGAAATCTTAACTTAATAACTTTTGTCTACTTAAAGACAATAAAAAGTCCAGTCTTTCCTTAACCATATTAAAAATATTATTGATAGAGAAATGTTTTATATATGAGATCACTGGTTTTAGTCCTGGTTTAGACCTGCTTTAGTCCTACTTTAGTCCTAGTTTAGTCCTGGAATGGGTTAGTCCTGGTGTTAGTTCTGGTTTAGTCCTGGTTTAGTCCTGGTTTAGACCTGGTTTAGACCTGGTTTTAGTTCTGGTTTTAGTTCTGGTTTAGTTCTGGTTTAGTCCTGGTTTAGTCCTGATTTAGACCTGGTTTTAGTTCTGGTTTTAGTTCTGGTTTAGTCCTGGTTTACTCCTGGTTTAGACCTGGTTTTAGTTCTGGTTTTAATTCTGGTTTAGTCCTGGTTTAGACCTGGTTTTAGTTCTGGTTTAGTCCTGGTTTAGACCTGGTTTTAGTTCTGGTTTAGTCCTGGTTTAGACCTGGTTTTAGTTCTGGTTTAGTCCTGGTTTAGTCCTGGTTTAGACCTGGTTTTAGTTCTGGTTTTAGTTCTGGTTTAGTCCTGGTTTAGACCTGGTTTTAGTTCTGGTTTTAGTTCTGGTTTAGACCTGGTTTTAGTTCTGGTTTAGTCCTGGTTTAGTCCTGGTTTAGACCTGGTTTAGTCCTGGCCGCCAACGTGAACATGACGTTTACATCGCTCTTACTGCGCGCGTTCTGTGTGGGTTTCCGGCAATGAGTGGAATTACTGAAATAAAAAAATGTATAAATGTGTTTTTGTGTGTGTGTGTGTTGTTGTCCCAACAACACATAAAAACAGGTTTTATAATAAAGCAACTCGCATACAGAAACAGTAAAGTTAGAGATTAAAAATGAGATTAACGCGATTAAAAAACATAACGCGCTAAATATGACTGTAATTAATTAATCGCAATTAACGCGCTAATTTGACACCCCTATCCCCAATACTTTCTTACTCTTTTTTCTTTTTTGCAAACAACTCCCTTACAAATAACATTAAAGTGTATGTGAGTTTTTTATTTTATTTATTTTATTTTTTCAATCTTTTGGTTTGTAGGATAGTACTTGAGTACTGAGTTTTACAATAATCAAGTAGCAGTTTGTAAAGAAAAGTTGAAAGGAAATGTGAATACCTCTACCTATGTCATCCGGGGCCGGGTCGCGGGGGCAGCAGCCTAAGCAGGGATTCCCAGACGTCCTTCACCCCAGACACGTCCTCCGGCTCCTCCAGGGGAACCCCAAGGCATTCCCAGGCCAGCCGAGAGACATAGTCCCTTCAGCGTGTCCTGGGTCTTCCCCGGGGCCTCCTCCTGGTGGGACATGCCTGGAGGCGCCCAGGAGGCATCCGGAACAGATATATATGTATGTGTGTGTGTATATATGTGTATGTATATATATATGTGTGTGTGTGTATATATATATATGTGTATATGTATGTATGTATGTATGTGTGTGTATATATATATATATATATACATACATACATACATACATACATACATACATACATACATACATACATACATACATACACACACACACACACACACACACACATATATACATACATATATATATATGGATGGCTCTGGCATCTGTATAATTAGGGCATGACCGATATGGATTTTGTTGTGGCCGATATGAAACCAATAAAATGGGAGTTGGTGCTGCAGTTGGAGCTTTATTCTGCCTCTTTACGTCATATTTAGACAGTAGGTTGGCCTAATGGTATTTTTCCATCACATTCTAGCTACTAGTGATGGGTATTCCAGTTCTTTTAAGAGAACCGGTGCTCTTGGCTCAGATCACTGAAAGTAATTGGCTCTTTCGGCTCCCAAGCAGCTCTTCAGATTGTTTTGTTGCAAGCAGGACTAAAGCAGGTCTAAAGCAGAACTGAACCAAGTCTAAAGCAGGACTAAACCAGAACTGAACCAGGACTGAGTGTCAGGACTCAGTTTCTATCTCTCTCCCTCTCTCAAGCCCAAGGTTAGTCCTGGTTTATTTATTTTATGCTGAACTACAGCCAACGTTTTTTATCCTATGCACATGCAGATTTCTGAAAGCTTAATTTTCAGCTGTTCCCCGCTGTCAAACTACCACGAGTCTGTACGCGGCGTGAAGAGAAAAAAAGTGAGAGAAGGAGAAAACATGGCTCCCAATAAGAAGCATGCTTCTGTCGTTTGCTTCCAAGAGCCGGATCTAAGAGCCGTTTCGTTCACGACTGACCCATCACTACAAGCTAGTAAAGAAATTACCGCTATTAGCCTTTAGCCGTAAATCCATGCACGCCGTGGTCATCAATTATATGTACAAATATCATAATTCACACCTCTATTCACAGCTCATTTACATATCTGTGCAGGTCCAGTAATATACGGTCAATATAGTCACTTTACAATAGACCCATAGAAAACAGCCTGTTTATGTGAGGGAGCTACAGCAGGTAATTGCTAACCAAAATCAGCTTCAAAATTGACATATTTCCAACACTCAGCGCTCACACAGGCTCCTCCTCACATCACAAGTCTGCACTAATAAATGTCATTTTAACCCTGACTCAAACCAATTGTCCGTAAAAAGAATATAATCTCAGTGTTGCCCACGGCTGCGGGTGTAAACAAGAACACATGAGTGAAGTGACGTGACTCTGGGGCTGTGTTCAGGGACAGTACGGACAGGCAGAGACAAATGACTCCACAGATAAATACTGATGCGGAGCCAC